TAAAGTCTGATCTCCTGGCCAGAGTGATGTTCTTTGTGGTAAGAGTCATAAAATTACGGTTAATGTATGCTGGCGGTATTGTCATTTGCGTGTGTGTCTTTTTGGTGGCGTTTATGGTGGCTCTCCTAAACTCAGAATGCTGCTCTCATTATTATGGACGGACAAAATTAATTGATTAGTAGAATCCATTAATATATGGTTTCTAAAGATTTGGATTTTTCTTATTATGTGACTAATTTGTAGAAAATAAATTTCCTGCTTTTTCATCACAGCAGCACAGCTAAGAAGTTTTCCTCTGAAACCAAAATTTCTTCGAGTGGAGAGTGAGTAGACTTGACTTCGTATTGATTTTCAGTTAGCTAATCTTTTTTTTTCAATTTTTTTGGTGGACGCATATTTAGGTTGAACAGTATAATATTTACCGTGAGAGGGGAAAATGCCTGGTGACTCTTATCCAATTTTTGACCTGCCACAATACTACAAGCACAGAAAGCGGTAACCCGTTATCCAAGAATCGATCGTTCGTCCTGTCCAGACAACAGCCACAGATCTGAGGTGCACAGACAGTGCACTTTTCTTCAATATTTTATGAAAATATTATATTTCACATTTGAAGTAATCGTCATTGCCTGCGGAGAGGTGACTTCATACGAAACACCCATTAGTTGTTAGTTCAGCTAGCGTTGGAACACACAACCTGATAAAATTTTCACTTAAAAAGAACAATTCGAATGATTACATTACATGAAGCTTCACAAGGAGAGACAGTGAACGCTTCCGTTACCATGACAACCGAGCACCCAATTTCGAGTGGTGGTTATAAGTCATTAAAAGTTTATTAAAAAGTGACATTGATACGTTGGAAAATTTCCACAGGTCAAACCACAAAAAAAACCGTAAATATTCTAAAAGCAGCAACAGCAAAATATTTTCAACTAAGAGCATATGAAAACATATACGTACATACAAACATACATAAAAAGAATGCTGTTAAAAACAATAATTCATAAAAATATATACCGATATATCGTCTCCTCCAACGTTTTCACAAAGTGACCCAACTCGAAAATTTGAAATTTTGAGCTTTGGTATGAATATTGCTTATACGAGGTGTGATCAGAGAATAACAATTATTTTCCATTTTTTTCAAAAAGTATTTATTTTATTTTGTCCCCTTCAATTTAATCCCCCTCAGCAATAATACACTTAAACCAACGTTTTTTCCAATCCTCGAAACACGTCTGAAACGCGTTTTTTGGTGTCGCCAATAGCTCCTGCTTCGGTTCCTCTTTTATCTGCCCAATCGTGGCAAAACGCTTTCTTTTCATCGGTATCTTCAGTTTTGGGAGGAAGAAAAAGTCAGCGGAGGCCAAGTTTGGTGAATACGGTGGTTGAGGCATGATAACGGTTTCGTTTTTGGCCAAAAACTCACGCTAAAGCATCGATGTGTGAGCTGGTGCGAATGTTTGCACTGCATTGTTATTGGAATCTTCTCGTCCTTCCTTAAACCGGTTATACCACAATTGAACTTGTATTCTGCACGCAGTAGACTCGTCAATGTTTCATATGCCCCTGCGTGTCCAATTTAATTTTTTACACAAAACCACAAAACTTAATACAGTTTCTTTGATCTATTTTTTCGTGTGGTAAAAAATCAATATTGCCAACATACATAACTGACAAGTGTACCAGCATAACAGAAGAAAAGCAAAAATCGAACTTACCTAACTCACGAATTTTTAAAATAACGGATATTAACCGCGGGAGTGATTTTCGGCTTATTGCTTATTGAGCTTAAGAATAAGTACATAAATTCGATAGTGTGCAAAATTTCTTACTTTAAGATATTCGTAAGAATAGCTAAACTATTTTTGCTAATAATCGTTACTTGCATTTTTTCAAAAAAAAAAAAAAAAAAAATTGTCAAAACTTCATTTTTCAATCAGCCTTTGTAATAATCTCTTTATTAATGTTTTAAAAATGTGTTCATTTCAATAATTATAATTATCGTTTAATTTCGTAAAATATTTTCTGATCTCGCCCTCCCTATAAAGAGAAAAGTTCAGACTTAAGCCGATTTTGGGTAGAGGGTCGGTGGATACACATATGTAGATAAGGTAGATATGTGATATGTTTATTAGTTTTTACTTTTATCGAAATTTCGTCACGAAAATTACAGAAATAATTCATAAAGTATTGTGCACAAATGATTTATTTGGTTGAAGTTGGTCGCAAGAGATGTCTTGGATAGTATTATAAGAACATACTAAAAAGCCAACGGAGCTATATGTATACATATATAACATGAAATTGGCACTTTGTAACCGCTGAAGCGAATTTTGGCCGAGCTACTCCTCTAATTTGAATGGAGAGATCTACAATCTACTTGAACCCGAGCCATCCGAGTATCAGTACGCAATAGTAACCGCTCGGCTAGCGCGGCCGTATACATGAAGTAGAACAAAAATAACAATAAATATATTGTACATAACAGTACCAACCTAAGCCAGTGCTTGATACTTTTCGAAAAATTTTTTTCGAAGCTGCTGAGACATAGAAGAGGAATAGTCTGTAGAGCACAATCCTTGGCACCGTACAACCGTTAGTCGCTCTGATCAGCAACCGTATAAACTGATCCAAATTCAAGAACGAAATTATGACAGTGTTAAATATATGAGTGTTAGCGGATACATTTTTTGTGTAAGCCCATCTTCTAGTTGCAATAGTAACGCTGTTGTTATTTCGTTTTTCATTTCATTTTGAGGTGTAGAGGGAAAATCAATAAAGCTTTCTGCAGTGCCGAAAACTAATAACTCTACTATTCTCTATTTCACTTAAAAATTTACAGAAAATATATTTCAGATGTGTGCTTCTTAAATGCAAATCTTTGCCAAATGCCTTTAAAAATCAACCCTGTGTAAATGATCAAGTTCAGTCTTTACTCAGAGCTACCGCATTATTTCTCCAGCAATGAAAGGTGATGAGCGTCATCATCGCCATTTCGACTGCCACAGAAGAATTATGTCGCTTTTTTCAAAAGTTTTAGCGACAAAAAATGTATGTATAGAATATAGAGTCTGGGAGTTGTGTTTATCTGAACAACTTAAATTACCATCAATCTCCGGTATATTTTGTTAAGTAAGCACGAAGTTTTCTTGTTTTTCTAAAAAATGCACTTGAGCTGAAGGAGAGTCAAAATGAGCTATTACCTTGTCTTAGCATCAAGGAGTTCGTTGAGAGCTTTTGGTTTCTATTCACTCGAAGAGCTTGACGTTCCTTGTCGAGAGGCGACCTTAATTGGAGGTATTAGTTTTCTATAATTATTGGTTGTGAGTCAGGCACATTGGTCCCTGTGATACATTTAAAAAAAAGATAAATGCGATAAGTGCATTGGGTGTATTAGGGACGCACACGAAGGGGCTTTTAGAACTAGTTTATTCCGACGAAATGAAATAGCAGTTCCTTTTTAGGTTTACTATTTATACTAATTTTAATTGATGATTTTTTCCAAAATAATTCAGGCGTCGAATAAGAAAAAAGAACGCATCGGGCGCACACGTTGCTTAGTGCTCTCAGTGAATCTTTTTTTATCTGAATAGCTTTTTGAATTGCTTGTATTTAAATTGTTTTGTGTTAAATTTAATAAAGAGCTTGGCAGAGAAAGTAGATAGGGCCTTCGTATTCCCGTCTGATTCTCAGCCTCGACAATGGCTGTTATAGCCTGGGTTCAATGGCATGGGGGGCAACAATGATGCCTAACTATCCGGCTAGATATCTACTTTCTATATATTCTCGCCATTACCTCCCTACAGGACATTTCAATACTTGCTACTTCTACTTGAAAGCTACTAGCTGAATTTTGTGGCCGCCTATACCCCGCGGTCCATTGTCTATAGAAGGAATCTTCTCCTGTTGAAGATACCTATAGTCAAGGCTACTTATGCACATATCGTGTAAATCAACATGACTATATACTGCTTAAGTCCCCAGTTCCTGTTAAGAATTCTTTTGCAGTTCAATTTGTTATCAATCTAGACCCCCATAACTTTTGTTGTAGGTGACAGTTTCATTGCAGTACCATTGCAGCACCCTGTGAATAGCATGAATTATTTCTTGCTAAATCAAGCACCGTTATTCACTGTCCATGACTGTAACAATCGTATGCCATATAACATCACTGATTCTGGATGGAAACAACTCTGATACCACGAGATTAACGGTGTAGTCCACTATGCACACTCACCTCATCTCCTCCACCTTTCAGCGCTACCGCCCAAGGAAGCGGAGATAGGACTCCTTCATTAAGCCGGTGGATGTTATAATCGGTTTGTTTGTAAGCATTGGCTGCATTCATCTGCGAGCCATTATATCGTAAGCTACGTTGCCTTGAACGGAAGATTTAATCAAGCTTTTATGGAAAAGTGTGTTGTATGTGTGTTAATAGAATGGAATGTTAGTAAACAATTTTCGGAAAAGTGTGCACTTGTAGCGTGGAAATCGTAGAAAACTGGATATTGTTCTTCCTCAAGGCATGACTTAAAGGTGCGAAAATTTGAATGTTTTTGAGAATTAACTACAGACTTTCTGGTGTCCCAGAATGAGCAGGTCAATGTTAAAGTAAAAGCGATGATTCCTGAGGGGCCTCAGCGCTGACTTCTCTAACACCATTGGTGACAAAAAATGTTATTTTAGAAAAAGCATTATACATAGATTCCTACTGAGTTCAATTTTTCGATACTTCTTACATATAATAGCTTCAACCCAAGCATTATCGAAGGCCTTTCCTCGGTTTCGACTTACTACAATTAATGGTTAGGGCAATAGAAGCATTACAAGAATACAAAAGTCCAAGAATTGAAGATTTCTTCAAATAAGTATTTTCCACAATTATTTTTTATATAATCTTTTAATTAAACATTTCAAAATATAATACATTTGCAATTTTTTTTTAAGCAAAACTTAAATATATTTATAAATTTATTTAAAGAGCAATGCCAATTTCAATGCTGCGAGCGGAATAATGCCAAAAAGCGTCTGCCAAACAATTCACATAAAAATACAAATACACATATAATATGGCCGCCAACATAGACCAACCAAACTCCATGTAGATCCGATACCGTTAGTTGAACTGCGGATGGATCTTCATATGTACCATGTGAGGCTGTTATTCGTCGCCGTTTGCAGGGATTTCGTTCCCAATATTTGTACAGACCGCTCTCCTGCACGATATCTGTAAAGTCGTCTATTGGCTGCTTGAGTGCTGAGCCATTTCTAACCATATATGAAAGCAATATCATATCGGTGATGTCCAAATTCTCGTTAAAAACCATTTTTAAGCTGCCTTGATCAAATATTTCGTGAGATATTCGATCAACCAAATATCCGGCATCTGTCAGCAATTTCATAGGTTTTTGAAATTTGTCAAGATCTTCAAAGAATAGAGATTTGTACTTTTGTTTTATGACATCGATGGCCAGAAAATCAATCATTTCTTCACTGTGGGTGTAAATTTTAAAACCCTTTCTCATCGCGTCCTCGTAGTCCACAACTTTGGGTCGTAAAGGAGGGAATGTCTGGAGTCGTGCGTAATTGGCTGCAAAAAAAGTTTGTATTATCATCCCACCGAATAATAACAAACCGAAGAGAAATCGGATTCGAATTGTCTGTTGGTGTGGCAAATTCAGCGATTGTCCGAGAAAACTGCGTAATCCAGTGTCGCCAATAAACGCCACGGCACGCCAAATACCGATCGGTTGCCATCTGCCATTGATCCATTGCAAAAATTTCGATATGACAAATGGTAACACCACAGTTTGCAAAGCAAACGGCAATAAGGTGTATCTGTTGAGGAAAACGCTAGAGAGTGCCGATAATGGTGGCACCACATTCAACGGAACAACGACGGACATTCTGGAAATCTCTAGTACGCGTGATTGGCCTCTATAAGCACACCTGTCGAAGTCAAGCCCAATATCTATATGACCCATTTCCATAGCGTCAATTATCTTGAAATAGTCGTATAGTTCACCGCCCGTGTAAAGCAAGGAGGCGTTAATAAACTCACAAAATGTTTGTGCGAACCTGGCAAGACTACCACATAACTCGACATTTCCATCGACATTGCCATCAACGGCCTTCTCAATAAAAACACGATGAGTGTTAAAATTTGGTATTGCCGTTAAATTAGCACCGACGAAGTCTTTCAAACGATCTGGATACCATTTACGCCCACCTTCATTTCTACTGATATCATGAGTCTCCAGCGCGAAGTTCGGGAATCTCTTGTAACTGTGGTATTTTTCGAAAATAAATGAGTCTCGATGTAAAACTAAAATATTTATCATTTCTAACTGAGCGCACATTTCGAAAAATTTTGAAATTTTCAACTCGTCCAACAGCAACAAAGATTCATTCACGATACACAAGATGCGGGCGGTGCGCATGTAGTGTATGCTCTCAGCCAATTGGTGCATCATGTCCCCATCATCAACGGTCTTCAAGCAGAGTATAACTAAGAGATGTGTACCGTAATCGTAAAGTATGTCACCGTAGTGGGTTTCATCCCAAATAACGGTAGGTGCGTTGAAATGTTGCAAGATGCTGGGATCCACACAGTCCTCAATGTGACGGCGTTGCACAAATATTGTTTTATAATCAGCCTCCTCCTTAATTTCTTTCAATATTTTGCGAAACGTGTCACCAAAATCAATGCTTGCTTCCATAACTAACGGTGTAATGATTTTTACACAATATAATTTTAAAATAAATATTATGCCAAAGCATTTCTGCAGCTGCATGATTTCCAAATGAATGTCCGCTGTGAACTCTTTTGTCTGCCTTGATTTATGGAAATGAGTTTGATATTTTTAAGAATTCTTCAGCTATCCTGCAATAGCTTTGAATTGTTTTTTAATTTGATTAATGGCTTTTTAATACCATTGAGATATTGAAATCAAACCCAGTTCTTTGGTAACCTAGCCGCAGGGGTATAGAGATTTGTTGTAATGCTTTTAGCTAATTATATTTTGTAGTGACTCGTGGTAATTCACTCTAGTACATATATACAGCAGATTGGATTAATCTTTCAATAAAATATTCAATTGCTTTGTTCATCAAATTTATGGTTTGAGAAAAGTGCAACTTACATGGCAAGGTTTTCGTAAACCCAAGTCTTTTGGCTTTTAAAACTCTCGAAACCGAACAGGCTAGGCTGAAAGACTCATAGATGCACGATAATCTTAATATTTTGCAAACCAAAGTAATTCTATTTCTTTTAGCTCTTTCAGGGTACACGTTGCTTCAGTCGAAGCTTTGTCTGAATCAAAAAAAGTTTCCTTTGGGTTTAATATCTGTCGTTGGGTGTTCCTTAAGTTAAGTTATTTTTTGGACAGAGAAGTTGAAGATGGAAAAACAGAAAAAAGGAATAAGCTAAAGTTTAGTGGACAACAACAAAAATAAATTATTCGATAAATCAGCAGTTATATTCAAATTATTTTAAATTAAACTTAGAGGTGTGTGTTTATTTCATTATCTGGTTCAATCGCTCAATTCAGGCTGCTGCGAATTATGTGCTGGAATTTTATACACATTTCTACTTAGTTTTTCGATTTAATTGGCTTCACTTTTATCAACACCGGTATCATGAACCAAATTTCTTAAAAATAAAAACACCGCACTTTATTAGCGATCACCAAACACCGACAGCAGGAACACCAACGGCAAGCAGACAGAGACGCGAAGAGCGAAAAAATTTGCAGCGTTCCTGGATGGAGAAGTATGAATGTGGGTTCAATCAGCGGGCTATTATGTTAGTGGCAGATGTTAGGTGAATACACCAATAGTATTTGTTGACAGAAATGTATTCAAAGCATGTTGTTTGCAATCTGGAGTGCAGAAAAAGTGTTTCGTAGATTGCCGAATGGTGCAAATAGTTTTGTTGTTATTTAATTAAATTTTTTATTCTCCTGTATTTAAAAGTTATAATTATCAAATTCCAACTTTCTTCTTTGGCTCTTTTCTTTCAAGCACTATAAAATTTTACGCTACTTATTCGTGATCAAGAGAGCATACATTATATTACTCTTAATATCCGCCAAATAACAATTATTGTAAACAATAAAAAATATTGACTTTTTAGAGAGCAATGTTGCCTACTTACAGGCGCGCTCAAAGGTAAAGCTATCAAACGGAAATGCTGACAGAAAATTAAATTTTCCAAAGTCAATATACACACACATGTACGTGTATGTAGGGAGAGTAATAAAAATTGCTAATGCAAGTGCGGAAATGTAAACAGCGAAAGTGGAAGAAAGTGAGTGCATACATAATTGAAAAAATGAAGCATTAGCAGGCGAACAAGTACACACACAAATATATATCTATCTCTGGAAAAGCTATCGCTTAGAGAGGATTTATACGAGAGGAGTACGTCAATAACTTGAGCATAAATGCAAAGCTGTTAAATATATACATATATATATCCAAGTTAATTTATCACATCAAACCACAACCTTCTAGTTGAATGTAAGAGTGTAAGCGCGAAGCCATTCGCTTCTATGTCTGTGAGATAATTTTTCATTTTGCTCATTATCATTTAGTCACATTTAAAGTGCAGCACAAATATTTGCATAGCCAGTACTAATGTATGCAACATAATTATAAAATGTTTGCTTACATGCCGCATAACATGCGCCGCAGAAACGCCTACACAAGCGCGATTTATCACACATCATATAATGTACATATGTATATATGCAACATCTACATACATATATAATATATATGTACAATAGATACATGGGAATTTCTTAGTATACACCAATAAGTGAAAGCTCAGAGTACATACATAGATAGTTTTGCTACTGTCAGTAAGTGTTTATACTGCGAAAGCAGTAATTGCTGGTTTTTGTATTTGTTATTCTTAGAAAATATTGCTTTCCGTAAATTGTGAGTACTCAGCATCACAAACAGCAATTTGCGTTATTAATGAATAATAATATTTTAAATCATCTCCTAAGTTACTCTCGTTCCTATCAATGTCATATTTATATAGATATATGTGTGTATATACTCGTATGTGTGAAAGACGCAGCTTTACTGTTCCTGCAACCATACGTAAATATACTAACTATAATTGACGCCAATAAATATTTACCCATAGTTTCACAAGTGCCTGCAAAAGAGCACTCTAAACGCTGCCTCATTAGCAAAATGTCATTTTATCTCTAGCTGAAAGTCACTACAAATATAATGTAACATAGGTTGAGGGCATCCCTTAGTTGCGGCCGCCTGTGATAATTGCTGTAAACAGTTGGTTTGTGGCAAATCATCTATTGCAGTGCCAGCTAAGTGTGAGAATGCAAGTGTAAGTGATACGAATGCTTGAATTTGTGATTTCAATCAGTATCTAGATATACGAAGAATCACACACATCTACCAAAAACAAAATTAAATATAATAAAACAATATAAAAAAAGAAATAAAATAAAATAATATAAAAAAAGAAATAAAATAAAATAAAATAAAATAAAATAAAATAAAATAAAATAAAATAAAATAAAATAAAATAAAATAAAATAAAATAAAATAAAATAAAATAAAATAAAATAAAATAAAATAAAATAAAATAAAATAAAATAAAATAAAATAAAATAAAAAATAAAATGACGAGAGATAAATTTTGCTTCTCTTTGTTCTTTTATTTGTGCGTTGCGGTGTTTAAAACTAATCAACTTCATCGAGTTCATCTAGATGTAACAAGGAAATAATATTTTGCGATGGCTGTGAAAGATGAATTTAGTTTCAGTTCTTCTTCCACAGCCGTTTCATCGAAGCCATTGATCCCGTTTGCGAAATCTTAATATCTTCTCAACTTTTTGATTTTTGTAACTTCAAATTTGTGAAAGTATTTTTTATTAATAAAAAAGGTTTTACTCCAATTGATAAACACAAAGAACTGTCTAATGCAAAAATTAGCTTTAATGTGAATATTTCTACTGAAATTAAATGAAGGTACGAGATAAGGCACAGCAATGTGTCATACGTTTTTGTAGTTGTTTAAATATTTTGTGGCACTGTTGCTTCTATTTGTTGATGTGCACGCAAATAGAGCACAAACAATCAACAAAATAAGTAAAATGCAAATAAAAAGTTTTTTATGCACGAAAAAAGGGGGAAAATGTACACAAGCCTATTTTGCTAATATGCATTACAATGGAATATATTGCTACATACATACACCTAGGTATGAGCGATATGCATATACACATAGTTTTTGTGCATGATTTATCTGTTGTTACAGTTGTAATTTGAATGTAAACATTTGCCAGCAACAAACTAAGCCGCAGCACCAACTAAAGCAGCAACAAAATTATGCACTACTTAGGACACATGCACGTGAGTGCTTGAGTGCATCTGTGTGTGTGTGCGTGTGTGCGTATGTGTGTGTGGATTGGTAAGTATGCCAACCATATTGTAGTTAACTGATAATGTAACTGTAATGCAACATGTGCTGATGTGACTGCTATGCATTGTCAGTGGTTGTTGTTGGTGTTGGACAACCGGGGAGGGTCGGTGGTGTAATACAATTGGATGGCATGCGTGCATTAGCGCAGTGTTGCCATACTTATTCACCCCGGCACTCTTTCCCCTCTAATTGCTCACCTATTTTACTGCCAAAAACAGCAAAAATCACTTCACTCTCATACCTAACGGGTACCGAGTCACAGCATTTACAATTTCCAAATAACTCGCTGTTCTTGTTATTTTGGTAATGTTGCGATTAGTGAAAGTACACAAGCGTAATAAATAATTAAAAAACCGATTAAAAGTTTGCATTGACTCTGCTGTTTTTGTTGTTGTTGTCAATGTAAACCATATGATCAAATGAAAATAATCACATCGTGGCTTAGGAACATCACGTTGGATACACCAAAATACATACATATTCGTACATTAGGGAGCACAATTAAATTTTGATTATTCGATGTCTTGGCCCAATAATTAAATTGTAAATTAAAAAAAAAGATAAAAATTTAAGGGGATTAAATATTTATTGAAAAGACTAAGAATTTATATATTAAATTATAAAAAATATAAATTACGATTTTCTAGTAAATCAAATTGACTAAAAATAAATTTTTTAGGACATTAATAAAGTGTGGTTATGTTGCAGTGGCAGTTCCCAAGGTAGGTCCATTATGATCTCACGTATAATTTTCTGATCTTAAGAATCTTCTTTTCGTCCAATTGGCTATTCAGGAAAGTTCGTGTTCTACGTATTGGAACATTGAATTTCAAAAGATTTTTAACTTTCTACCACATATTCTACAGCATCCTCGTATAGCAGCTCCTAGCCACTATTCCTAGCAGCCACTATCTCATCAGGATCCCAGGAAGATCTGCTTCAGTCCAACACAATTTTTTATAATGCTCGCCCTGTTCGATATCAACGGTTTTTTTAAAAGAAATAATCGGATATTTATTTCAATATAAAATAGAAAATATGCCCTTAGTAATGGAAAACAAGAGCAGCCAAATGGCAGCCACACCGTCTTGTTGAAAGTATACTTTGCCCAGATCAATACCATCCAATAATCATCTCACGATAGCATAATCTATTCATTGAAACTGTTGCTCCTTCCTGCTTAATTTTTGAAAAGGTTAGGTCCAATGGCCTGCACCAAAAAGCTGAAAATGGAAAAGCTTTTCAGCGCCAGATGCG